AGACTCTGCCTTCAGAATCTCAGCTCTGGGTTCCCATGCCAGCTCTGCCAGGTGCTGGCCACGTGATCCGGGGCAGGCTCCTCCAACCACTCTGTGCCTCAGTTTCCTTATCCACTTGATAGGCTGATCATAGGGCCTATCTCACAGGACTTTTATGCAGATGAAATAAGACAAAATTTGGAAAGTGTTTATAGCAGTTCCTGAGACAGTTCAGCCACTACTCAGGTATTTGCTAAATAAGTGTCGGGCAAAGGAGAGTTTGAATAAATAATAAGGGCAAGAGAATGACAATTTTACCAGGCATTCTCTAATTTCAAGAGTTCTGAGTTTTTGCCGCCCGATTCTCTTGTGGGTGATGATGCCCTGCCGACAGCCACATCACCCTGAGACACGGCCGGTGCTCTCGGAGGGTCTGGAGGCCTCACTGAGTATTAGCAGATACCCCGTCTGGGTTCACTCCCGGTGCCAGGAATGCTACGAAGTATGTGTCTAGGGAAGGTGACTCAAGGCATTGCAAGGGATGACCACAGCAAGAGTTCCCAGACACAACTTTTCAGAAAGGGTTTCTGGGAACAGCAAAATCAGGGGTGGACGCCGAGAGTTGTATTTTGCAATATTCTGCGAGTACCGCAGCCTGCTTATCCCACATCTTGTTCTGCTCTATTCCTTACTGTCTGCTCTGAAGATGGCTATCCTCGTGGATTATGGGACATTTCTGAGTATCTGGAGACAATTAATTATCCTAGTCTTGACATGCCTGAGGGGCTAACGCAGCAACACAGAGAAATGATGTAATTTAGCTAGTCACGTAGCACGGGGGAGGCCGAGCCGGGTCAGTTCTCTGGACTCCAGGCTTACATTTAATCTGATGAGACTCAGCACCGCGCTCTTATCCCAGCCCCGACTTTGTTTAGTCACAGAAGCTGTTAACATAATTTCAGAGATGTGTGGCCAGGGTCATTTGGTGAAAATGACGTTACCAGGAAGCTAAAATACTCAAAGCTCTGGAGAAGGTTGTGGGTCAGGATCGTGTAGGGGGAAAAAATCAAAACAAGACCAGAAATCAGCTATAAATATCAACAAAAGGGAAACTGTTTTACTATGTACAATATGAAGATGGGATAAAAACATGACCATTTCATTGATAACTTCTAAAACATACCAAGGCTGGTGTAGCCTCTGAAGTTTTTGATAGCTCGAATTCAGAATAAACAATTTGCAGTTGCCCATTTGCATTTGTGCTTGAGTCAATTTGTAAATGCACACTTGTATTTATGTCTGGCCATGTAGGAATTCACTCTTTATTTATTTTCTAGGAGATTTATTTATTTTTGAGAGTGAGAACAAGAGCAAGAGCGAGAGCGAGAGCGAGCGTGTGCAGGAGCAGGGGGAGGAGCAGAGGGAGAAGCAGACTCCCTGCTGAGTGCACATCCAGGACCTGAAACCATGACAGGGACCGAAGACAGACACTTAACCAACTGAGCCACCCAGGAATTCTTTTTAAAAGAAAGTTTTATGAAGGCTCAAAAAAAGTTGGAAAGATACCCATCTTCTATTTTCTACTTTTTCTCAGTCTTTTTCCTGATTCCCTTGGAGTGAGGCAAAGGGTAAGGAAAAGAGAATGGGTTCTGAAATTATACAGACTTGGGTTCAAATTCCGAGTCGGTTACTAGTGGCATGGCCATGGGCAATTTGCTTAGCCTCTCTGAGACCTTCTGTGTCCTCATCTACGGAAGGCTTACGGTAATTCTTACCTCACAGGGTTGAAGTAAGCAAAACCCTTACCAAATGCTCGATTGACAAAAGACGCTTAGTTAAGTGTGGGCGGCAGAAATCTTAGACTCATTTAAAATGCCAATTCAGAATAGATTTATCAAAACAGCATGGCATAGGTGCAAAGATGGATGAAAAGAACAGAATAAAGAGCTCAGAAATTGACCTACACATATATTGTCAGTTGATTTTTGACCAAAGTTTCAAAACAACTCAATGGGCAAAGGATAGTCTTTTCAAAAAATGATGCTGGAGCAACTGGACAACCATATGCAAAAAGAAAATGAATCTTGATCCATACCTTGCATTACATATAAAAATTAATTTGGCATGAATCACAGACCTAAGTGTAGGAGCTAAAGCTATAAAATTTATAGGAGAAAATTTTTTTGACCTTGGGTTAGACAAAAATTTATGATACAAAAAAGCATACCAAAAATTTTTGATGAATTGGTCTCCATCAGTAGGAATAAAGTTTTGCTCTTCAAAAGATACTTACAAAATGGAAATGGTGGGCACCTGGGTGGCTCAGTCGGTTAAGCGTCTGCCTTTGGTTCAGGTCATGACCCCAAGGTCCTGTGACATAGCCCAGCATCGGGCTCCCTGCTCAGTGGAGAGGCTGCTTCATCCTCTCCTTCTACTTGTTCTCTCTCTCTCTCTCTGTCAAATAAATAAATAAAATCTTAAAAAAAAAAAGAAAATGGAAATGCAAGTCACAGACTAGGATTAAATATTTGGAAAATGGATTTACTTCTCTAATATTGCTGTCTTTTGAAACTGTGGCACGGAGTAGATATCATTAATAATTCCTGTGAGTCCCTATCCTCTCTCTGATAAAATGCACCTTTCAGAGGCTTTTCCTTCCTTCCCTACTATGTATGCCATTATTCACTGCCATAATTCTTGTCGTACCATTAGGGGTGAGAGCTGGAGAGAAGATTGAGCTGTGTGTAATGAGATGGCAAGCCGCACATCTTAGATCATATTCTTGGTGGTAGAGAAAAGAACAACAATAAAAAATCTGGAGTCAGGCACATGGGTGTCCGGAAGCCACCTAAAAGCTCTTGTTAGCAACCAGACACTCTCAAAGATGACCCCAAAAAGCACAGAGTGCACACGTTCTGTCAGAAATGGTGCGAAGTGCTGTGCGTCATTTCATCTAAGTGTAGGAGAAACATCTACGCATCAGTGAGCATGGAGTCCCCGCAGCAGAGACACTGAGCAGGCATCCAGCAGAGCTTCATCCAGGCTCTTCCCTCCCTTATGCCTGTAAACGATTTTGCTCTTCCTATGTCTCTGAATGGCTTTGTCTTCTGGACTTCATTCTAGATTCATCTGTCTTTCATTGGTTTTACTGTTTTGGGACTATTGGCTTGATTTTGGGAATTTCTCTTCTTTGAAACTTCGGCCTCTGGCTTCCTGGCACCAGGCTTCGTGTTTCCTTGCTCCTTCAACCAGCTATCCATTTTTTTTCCATCTCTTCTCTGCCTCCTCAGTTTCCAGTTTCCAGTGTTTGGCCACTGATGGGTGATTACTAATCTCATATGTCCCAAGCTCCATAATCTACGATACTGGGACCCACAATCAACAGACATGTGTGTCTTATGGGTATTGCTTGTTCTGATGACCCTGACCAACCACTGCAGGTGCAGCTGATCAGGAACCTAGGATAAATACAGGCATAAGGGAGGGAAGAGCCTGGATGAAGCTCTGCTGGATGCCTGCTCGGTGTCTCTGCTGCTGGGACTCCATGCCAAGCTGAAAAGGCCAAATCTGCCTTAGCCAAGGTAGCTGTGGAGCTTCCAAGTATTGCCGCCACAGTGAGGATGTCTTGAGTGGCGTGAGCAAAGGCCGCATGTATGGATGACCTCGGGGTTGGAGTGGTCAGGGCTTATACGTTGGAGCCAGGTGGGGACTTACGGGCGAACACAGCCTAAACCATAAGGTGAGTAGACCAGCGGAGAAAGCAGCATCCTGTGCTCATTAGCCTGTTGTTCCCTCAGGTGGACCCGAGCCCGAGGGTCAGGCCGGGAACGCGCCCGTGTGTGGACGATGTGACCCCAGGTGGGAACACGGATGTTGCCGTGCTTGCCCTCAGCATCAGTTTGACAACAGCAGAACCACGAGAAGTGTCTTCTCCAGAGTCCATGCCCCGAGACAGTCTGGCTGCAACTCGCAGGCCACAGACCCCTGGGTGCGAGGATCCCTCCCGGTTTACTTTAACTTAGAACAATAACCTCTGAGAGCGAGCATCCCGGGGAGCGGAGGGACCGACATCAAAGTCTTCCGTCCCTTTTCCGATTTTGATCACAGCGACCGTTTTAACACAAGGGCTACGCAGGTTTTAAAAGGCTGAACTGTACTCAGCAGGTCACCAGCTGCTCCCCCCGCCAGGACCCGCCAGAGCCGGCAGAGGGATGCGCAGCTGGAGGGGAGTGGCGGCAAATCCTGCCCACGGCGGCCCGCGCCGTGTCCCACCTGCGCTTCACGCAGGCTATGCACAAGAATCTGGAAGGGGTATTTTAATGATGAGAAATAAATACATGACCTTGATGCAGAAGACAGGACGAACCTCTCCAAGTTTTAAAAAAAGGTGATCGTGCAGCAGGTGGCCTTAAATCTTAGGGTGATTAAGCTGACAGGGATGCAAAGGCTCACGCAGTTCCTATAATGCTCCGCGCCCAGGCTCTCACACCAACCCCTTAGCAAGGAGGCGGCTGAGCGCGGGAAGGTTCAGTAAGGATTTATGACATTTGCATCGTCAATGGAAGAACTGAAACGTAAGCCCTAGTTTCTTGACAGGAAATCCTGCCCTTGCTTCCAACTGTCTTTTAGCCAGATGATGGTATCTGGCTGCCTCTGAAGACCTGCCGAAGGCATCCTGGTTATTCCCCAAGAGGGACCTGAAGCACAAACTAATTTTCAACGGGAGCGGACTTTGCGAGAACGGTTCCAACCGGGCACATTCTTTTCTCCTCTTTCCACTCATTTTCAGGGCCACCTGGAAACTCTGGCTCGGGGCTGAGGCGTGAGGAGCCATCCCCGCTCCCCAGTCTTTTTCTTTGCACAGCTGCGAAGTTCAGTGAGTTGAACTGCAGCGCCTTGAGTTCACTGTTCACTCTGCCACGACCAACCTCTGTTGTAAATCTTCCTCCCGGAACACGTGACGATGCATTTCTTGACTATATATCCCAACCGCAGCAGCAGACTTGTCAGAGCGCTGAGCCCCGCGGGGAGGAAGGACGCTCCTGGACTTGGCCATCTAGCAGCTCCGGACCTTGTGGAACAATCTGCAGCCTTCGGTAAGTTAGCAACGCGCCCTGGCCTCAGAGCCCTTTGAGAGGAGGCTGTTTCGTGCACTTAGTAGATGAGGTTTTCCTTCCCTTTCTCTGCTCTCAGGAAACGCAGTTTTGAATTAAAACTAGGTTTAGGTTTGAGAAGCAGCATGCAAGCTTTCGCTGCTTCCTGCTCAGTTAGAAAAAGTTGCCCAGGGACTAAAAAGGGGTTTTGGTTGTCTCTGTGCTCCCTTGTCTTGGACTGATTTTTCCCTTTTGCTTTCACGACTATGAAGGCAATGCTCTCTACGTGCTCACTTTAGGAAGCGCAGATGTGAGGCCGCGTATGCCTCAGCCCATTTCCCCGAGCCCTCCCTGCCTCCCCCCTGCCGCCCCTGCCCCATCCACTGTGGCCCCTCAGGGCTAACCCGTTCACTGTTTCGTGGGCCTCCTTCCCACGATTCCTCCGTGCAGTGCTCAGCTTTCTGGAAACTGCAATCCCACAAACCTCGGGCCAGCCTCCTTCCCGCCCGGCCAGCCCGTGGGAGTCTAACCTGCAGGTCTCTCCCCAGACCCCGGCTGAGTGCGCGGCGCTTCAATGCTGAAGATGGAGCCTCTGAACAGCACGCACCCCAGCACCGCGGCCCCCAGCAGCCACCTGGTGTCCCACGTGCCCGGCAGGGAAAGCGGCAATGGCAACGAGTACTTCTACGTTCTGGTCGTCATGTCCTTCTACGGCATTTTCTTGATCGGAATCATGCTGGGCTATATGAAATCCAAGAGGCGGGAGAAGAAGTCCAGCCTCCTGCTGCTATACAAAGACGAGGAGAGGCTCTGGGGGGAGGCCATGAAGCCGCTGCCCATGGTGTCCGGCCTGAGGTCCGTGCAGGTGCCCATGATGCTGAACATGCTGCAGGAGAGCGTGGCACCTGCCCTGTCCTGCACCCTCTGCTCCATGGAGGGAGACAGCGTGAGCTCCGAGTCCTCCTCCCCAGATGTGCACCTCACCATCCAGGAGGAGGGGGCGGATGACGAGCTGGGGGAGACTTCAGAGACGCTCCTCAACGAAAGCAGCGAGGGGTCCTCAGAGAACATCCACCAGAATTCCTAGCACCCCCAGGGCCTCCGGAGGCGGCCCCATCTGCCAGCAGCCTTAGAGAGAGGAAGGACACTTTTCGTGTCTGGTTTCACTTTTGCAGCGCAGCTGCCACTTTAAAGAGACCTTTGGCGAGCCCCTGCACGGGGTGGTGGGGGAGTCTGCAGCCAGGAGGGCACGCGGCCAGTGGTGCACACCTGCCACTGAAAAGCCCAAGGATGTGCGGTGTGCACCTTGACTTTGGGGTCTGGGGCTCGGGGTTCCAGTTCTGAATTCGGCAGGTCGCCGTGCTTGCTGTTGTTTTCTCGCTGGATGCCCTGGGTAACTGCCCGCTCCCGGGGCTGCCCGATGCCTAGGACGTGCTGAGGGGCTAGTTTTGATTTGCTAATTTGCCTAGAGCTTCGTTCTAGATCTGATGGGCTGTAAGTACCTCTATGGTGTACCTGTGGCATTTGTTCACAGCGGGTTACAGAGCTTCTTTTTGGAGGTCTTTTGGGTTGGAGGGGGATGTCTGATGGAGGACTTTTGATGGCAGAAAGCTGGAGATCCAAACCTGGTTCATTTGCATACAGTAAGAAAAAGCCACTTTCAAACTTGTTACCATTGGCTGGGATTATAAAAGAGAATCTGCTATTTCCACCCTTTGTCTAACCTGTGACCTTGAGCTCTGACCTCAGACCATCCAGCATCGCTTGCTGGCGTGACGTTTTCTCTCAGTTGGAAGAGCTTCCCCAGAATCGAATCTGTACTCTGAATAGCTGTACAGGGGACTTTTCCTGATCTTTCTAGAAGGGGTGATGGTGCACTTGAAGGAGGCTAAGCCCTTAGCTCTGCTGCTGCTTTTTCCCCGGCCTGGTTTTTCTGAGCTGGGAGCTGACACAACGTGGGCCTTCACAGTATGGCATTCCGTCACGTAGCGCAGACCTGGAAGGGTAGACTCAGGCAGAGGCTGGGGTCTGGGTTCTGTTTTCTGATCCTGAGCTGATTTGCTGTGTGGTCCTGGGCATGTCATCAAGAGGCTTACTGCCTTCATGAGACTCCTGAATCTAGATCCCCAGGGGGCTGGGAGGATGTCTTTGGATTTTAAGACTCTGTGATAAATCCTGTATGGCCTGGTGTGAGGAAGCTTGGAGAAAATATTTCCCACTTGGCCAGTTAGTCTGAGAACGGATCTGCTTATTTAAAGGAGCAGTTGGAGACTCAGAACACATGTAACTCGGAAATTTCGGGCGAATCACCACCCTGTTCGTGCTGTCATTTTCCCAGCAGTGAACCAGGGAGGCAGACACTGCATTTTACTGTGCAAAGTTCCCTGGGTAGTAGAATGTTAAGACTTCAGCTGAGAAACCAGAAGCCTAACAGAAAATGTTCAGGAATGCTTGCTAACGTCTCAGTGTATTCCTGCGGTCAGTAGCTTTGTGGCAGACTGGTTAGGCCCTTCAAGGCAAGCAGGAAGAGAAACACACCAAAAGGTCAAATTTAATTCTAGTAAAAACAAAAAAAAACCAAAAAACCCCCCAAATTTCTAAAACATACTCTCCTTTGATTGAAGATAGCAGTGTTCCCACGAAAGGGTTAACAGTAGAGGAGCTGGTTTATCAGTTTGCCCTAACATAGTGCTAGAGGACATTCATGTTTGGGGGGGAAAGGGCCCTCCTTCACTTTAAAATTCAGAGTGTGGATTTACTCCAAAGGGGGCTGTTGGGGGTGAAAGAAGCCAAGTTCAGTTTGGCCCCTTGCCTGGAATCACTTGAATTCTGAAGCTTTACTGCGACGGACATGTGCGTTGTCACATTTTCCATTGCTTAATCCTGAGGTTTGGTGCAAGTCTATCTGCGCCTGTTAAAAAAAAAAATGATGTATATACTTCCTTCTTATTCTATTAAGTTGTATAAAGTTGTCTTCTGTATTTAACAGTTTGTAATTTTCACACTATTTTTTAATTTAAATAAACAAACACGTTTTCCGCCCCCCCCCCCCCCCCCAAGAATACGCGTCCTCTCTCTGATTCTTCAGCACGACTGCAGTTTCCAGGACAAGCCCTCAGTCCCCAGCCGGCTCCGGCTCGGGCTCCGGGTCATCCTGCAGGCGGGAGGGGCGCGGGAAGGTGTAGCTGCCTGCGGCCCGGGCCCCGGAGCGAGCGGGCCTGGCGGGGCGCGCGGCCAAGCTGCAGGGCGGTCTGACCGCCGCCTCACTCTACACTCGGTGGCTTGCACCAGCCCTGGAATTGGAACATACGCAGGGCGACGCGGCAACCTGGTGCAAAGATGTTGCTCCGAATCTGGTCGCCAGGAAACATGTGGCTGGCACGAGGGCTAGGCCGCCACCGGCCCGGGGCGCACGGACTGGGACTGCCGGGCGGGAGCCCGCGGGGCGCACCGCGGAGCGGACTCCCCCCGGGCCGCGAAGCCGGGGGCGGGGCTGGAGGGACCGCCCCTCCCAGGCACCTGCCCGCCTGGCCCCGCCCCCCGAGCCAGGCTGAGCCCCGCCCCCCGGTCAGGTTCCGCCCCCTGGGCCAGGCGCCTCCCCTGAGTCAGGCTCCGCCCCCTGGATCAGGCTCCGCCCCCCAGTCAGGCTCCCACCCCTGGGTCAGGCTCCGCCCCCATTCAGGCTCCGCCCTCTAGGTCAGGCTCCCACCCCTGGGTCAGGCTCCGCCCCCAGTCAGGCTCCGCCCCCAGTCAGGCTCCGCCCCCTGGGTCAGGCTCCGCCCCTGGGTCAGGCTCCGCCCGGGGCTGCGCTCCCCGCCTGCCTGCGGCTGCAGCCTGTCTTTTATTCCGTTTCCACAGCCGGAAGTGCTGCAGAAAAATGACCAAACCAGTGACCCAGTTTGAGGGAGGCAGATGGACAGGGTGGCCTTGCTGTCATGTTTCTCTGTTTCCTGTGCGTTGAGCTTTCCTGTTTCAAGGAAACGTTGCATTAGGTCCCCAAATGACAGCCTCCCCGAAGTCTATCCGGCGGCCATGCCGCGGGGTCTGGATTCTTCCCAAAGCGCATCGAGGATCGCAGCTCACCAGCTGGTATTGGGACAACGTAAGATGAGAACGTGATCTGAAAAGACAAAGAAGCCTTTTTAATGTATCCTGGCTTAATGTCACTCTTGGTGAGGAAACAGTTAAAAAAAGTCTTTTTTTTTTTTTTTTTAAAAACCAGGGGCGGAAGAAGAGGGAATTCTAAACTCTAATTGTCCTAAAAATATGTAGAGTACACTATGTCGTTTTAATGGAATATTTGTTTTCTTTAAAAAAAAAAAAAAGAACTTCTAAGCAGAACCTAAGGCCCAAGGGGTTTAGTCTGTGTGGATTTACTCATGCATGTGAAAAACTGAGAAGGGAATTTGGCCCCCTGCACCTAGGATATTAGAAACATATTTTAAAGCACTTAAATGTTAGGGATGAGGTAAATGGATCCTCCTGCTTGCTCCATGCTGTTCTAATTACACCTTTGTACGTCAGAGGCCGGCAGGGATGCTGCACAGGAAAAGATTTCTTTCATGGACGCCACCATGGGAGCCGGATTACTGGGAAAGGCTGAAATGGGGCCCCGGGCAAGAGTGCTCTTGGCTCATGATTCTGGTTGAAAAGTAGACCCCAAGGCACATTTGAGAGTTGGAGGTTCCGTGGTCAGGCCCGCACTTCCAGGGCTCAGCTGAAGGAGGGTCACTTATCGGCCTGTACGGTGTCGCCCTGACCATGCACGTCGTGGACCACCCCGCACGTGGAGCTTACAATGCAATGGATGCTCCATTCACAGCCTCGGTCAGACAGAGCTTAGGGTTACCCGCCTTACTCCCCAGCTGGGCCTCGTGCTGGAGACCATCAGGGGGAGAGTCATGGTTCCGGGAGAGAAGGTGGCGCCTAGGGCCTGAGGGAGACGCGCCAGCTCCTTGCCCAGGCCGGGGCTGGTCGCAGGCAGGCAGGGTGTGAATGCGGGTTCAGTAGACACTCAGCCTGTTTTGTCTGGCTTTCTAGGCTGCCTCTGTGGCTCTGCAGCTGTACAGAAAGAGCTCGGCCTCTCTGACACGCAGTCCCTCTGCTTTACCACGAGGAAGACCCACTGGCCTTTCTCTTTGGGAGTGTGTGTGTGTGTGTGGGGGGGGGCATAGGGCGGCTGCTAGTGGTAAGAATAGTGCAACCACCTGTGACATCCTGAGTGCTGCATGAAACCAAAGGCAAAGCAGCTCCAGGCTTCTACTTCTGAAAATGCATCCTGGACAGACATCTGCAAATGAAAGTCACTGAACCTTTCCTTCTGTGCTCGGTTTCCTCAGGAGACTGCAGTGTTCAGGAAGAGGATGTAATTTGCCAAAGAAGAAGGGTCATAAGAGGGAAAAAGCACTGTTCAATCTTCGCCTTTCCCCATTTCTGAAATGTTTCCTCCCACACAGGAAGGAACAGTTTGGGATGTGAGCTGTTACCATGGAGATAACCAGCCGAGGTCACTTGTTTGAAGGAGGAGCCCACGGCCCCCATGGCACTGGATCATTAGAACAGTTTTATGAAGTTGGGATTTGGTCCTTGACTCAGGCAATGACAAGCTCTGAGCCACGGCAGCCTCCATTTGTGGCGTGGAGGAGGGGATGCAAGAACGTTGTCCTTCTGTCCCATACAACTCTGTCTTCCTTCTCTTTGTGCCTCTCCTGCCCATTCAATATAGGGCTGCAATTTTGTGTGTCCAGCTCCAGGAATTTCTTCTCTTACCTTGCATTTTCTTGCTAAGAACACGGTTCAGGAATTCTTCACATCAATAGCCACACCCTCTTCTGTCCTTAATGGTTTTTCATCCCCTGTTCAGAGACAGTGAATGGCATATTCTTTCTTGCCTTAGTCTGTTCCGGCTGCTATAACAAAGTGTCATAGGCCGGGTGGCTTATAAACAACAGAAATGCATCTAATAGTTCTGGAGACTGTCTGTCATCAGGGCTCCAGCATGATCAGGTTCCGGTGAGGACCCTCTTCTGGAGTGTGGATGGCTGACTTCTTATATCTTCACATGGTAGAGAGACAGGAAGCTAACTCTCTGCTTCCTTCTTACAAGGGCACTAACCTCATTCATGAGTGCCCCACCCCCAAGACTTACCTCCCAAAGCCCCACCTCCAAATACTGGGGAGTAGATTCCAGCATGGGAATTTGGGAGAAGGCATACAGATACTCCGCCCATAGCATCTCTTTTCCCAACCTCCCTTCTTTTCCTCCCTCCCTTCCTTCCATTTCACAAAAGGAATGAAAACAACAGAAGCAAAACAGGAATGGGAACAACAAAAAGGAGCCACAATGCAGTCTACTTGTCAGGCATATACGTCACCCAGTTGTTACAAGCCTGTGCTTTAAACACTTAACTAGGTACTTCTAGGTACTTCACTAGGTGCTGGGGAAAATGTAACATCTCCCTGGCCTCCAAAGGGGTCAAAGTCTCCCCATAGTTGATTTCCAATAAAAATAATTCTATTTCAGATTTATTTATAACATCGATGCAGGGCTTTCTGGATGTGAGAATACATAGTATGTCTTTGAGCAGTTGAGGATGCCGTGGTGCAATTAAATGGGCAAAATGTACTGCTTACTTAATATTTGCCTTGTTCTGTGATAGATGCTTTCCCTTAGATTATCTTACTTAATCCTCTCAAGCAGACCCTGAACTAGGTCTCTGATACTGTTAAAGGAGATATGAAAGTTGAGGCTCGGGGAAGGCAATGGCCGCCAATGTAGTGAGCGATCAGGATTCCAATGTAGGTCACTAGATATAAATCTGCATTCTTTAAACCACTGGGAAGCAGAGAGCAGGAGACTTGGAATCTAGTCTCATCCTAGACATTAGGCAGCCCTGTGCCATTGCACTGGTTGCTCAACCTTTCTGGGTTTCCTCCCTGGTAAAATGAAAATATAATATCTTTTCTATTGACCTCAAAACACTGTCAGAGCTTCATATGAAACAACTGGAAAAGTAAAAAGTCTCTGTCCTGCATAGGGGACTGAGCGTGGACATTACTAGCATGCAGCAATATCCAGCTCTTCTCCCCTTCTGAGAACATGGAAATTTCCACTTCTTGCCTCCTTCTCGGGCCCCTCCTCCCCTAACACCAGGGCAGGGATGTGACTCATTCTGGTCAATGTCGACTTAGTGGACAAGACATATATCCCTTATCAGCTAAGGCCGTGGAAAGCCCAGGTATGATTTCTCCAGGGCCAGCCTTTCCTACATGTAACTAGTGAGACCATATGTTCCGGGTGGTGGTACAGATGGTCATCGGAGACTGAATTGGCCTGAAATGGGACTGCATGGGAGCCAGTTGCTCTGGAGAGTTGCCTAAACCTGCAGCTGGCTTTATGTGAAGCAGTAATAGCATAAGCTATGGTGAATATTGAGAAGTTGGGGTTTTTGCTCCTGTGATGGAATCTTACCCATCAGATTTTATAGGGCATGACAATTTAGAGAGACACAGAAGGTGCCTTCTACACCATCTCACCCAACCTCTCTGTTTAATGAGGAAATCAAGGCACACAGTGGTTAAGTGACTTGTTCAATATCATAGAGGGAGATAGGAGTAGAGCTGGGATCACAACTCAGATTTCCTGACGTTGGGTTTGGGATCCCCATGGGGGGGCACAGCCATGGAAGTCTCTGCCGGGGATTAGTGAAAACAAGGGACTGAGGGGGCCTCCTCACCTTGAGCTTCCCTGAGCAGCTCTCGGTCACTGCTGTGCCTCTCCTTGCTGGGCCCATGAACTGTGCCAGGAAGTAGCTTCTTTTTCCCTGGCCAAACCCTGGTACTTACTGCTCTTTGGGGGGATGGATCAGAGCTGGCAGCTGGCAGAAGTAAACACATTCCCCTAAAGAGTGCAATGTGACATCACTGGAAACTTTAATAAAGGGGAAGAAGCTATAAATAGGAGGAGGGAAATATTCAAACAGGGTTGAATGTAACTGTCCTGTATGCAGTTTCCTGGCTTCGGCCTTCTGTTTG